ATTTCTAAAAATGTCTTAGACTGATCAAAATTGTGAAGAAATATTTGACTATATAGAAGGGCATCTAGGAACCTGCTGTCCTGATACCTGTGAATTGCAAGCCCTGGAGAAATGTGTGGGAATATGCACAAAATCCAGATCTCATGTGATTGTGGTGAACAGAGTCATAACTAAATTATTTTAAATTGATATAAATAAAAATCCAACACACACTATATAACTCTAGCATAAGAACTATTGTAAACAATTTAATTTTCACTGCTAAGAATTTTCACGATTTTATGGCATTCACGAGGACATACCTTAAAACATGTTGAAAAAGCGACGTGCAATTTTAGCGAATTTTGATAAAATGACGTAATAGTGAAATGTTGATTTAGCGAATCTCTCTTGTCATTGTTGATTTCCTGTTTTCGGAATACTTGTCTGTAGTCTGCCAAAACAAATGCACAGTTATCACCTCCATAAAAAACGAAAAACTGTCAAGTTTACCGTAATTAGGAAGCGCTCCAGATTTTTATTTCCATATTACTGTAGACAAATCCCCAAGCCTTGGTCATTTTGAATTTATAATAAATTCATTAGTGTTATCTTGAATTAGCAAATCGGTTCTCTCACTAAATTCGCGAAAAAGACATGCTCGTGAAAAGACATGTTTTACAGTAATTTTGCCAAAGTCACTGACTTAGTCTCTCAGAATTGAAGAATCCCTGAGAACTGTTCACGTTTTTCCCTAATGCATGGAAATTTGATTCTTGCAAAGCAGTTTATAGTTTACTGAGCTATGTTTAACAGTTTCTTAGCAGTGAACAATGACACATTCTGAGAATGATGGCAGAATTGAAAAAAAATTGTTGAAAATCAAAAATCCTGCAGAGATCAATAACAGAAAAAGGATAATTCTGCATTCCTATTTCTTTGGGAAAAAATATTTCACACAGAGGTAATAACAAAGTTATAGTGAATTCATGATTGATTAGCACAAAATATTAGCACAAAACTAAGTGAAGAAAAAAAAAATATTTCACACAGAGGTAATAACAAAATTATAGTGAATTCATGATTGAAAAAAAATATTAGCAC